CACCAGATCCAAGTTTCGAGGATTTATCAATCAAGAGCAACTTGTGATTGAACTTCAACCCCAAAGCTATCCAACTCCAAGATCACAAGTTAGATTTATTGGTACGCTTCTTTCAGGTTCGGCACTATCGTGGTTTTCATCTTTTCTTGAACGACAAGATCCAATATTGGATAATCTACAGGCTTTTTTGGCAAAGTTTCGATCCATATATGGAGAACATGATGCAATTCGTGTTGCAACCAATAAGATCCGTATTTTATGACAAGGTAATCGATTAGTAACGTTATATGCTTCAGAATTTTGACAACTTGCAACTGATATCAAGTGGGATGATGCTGCACTTATTAGCCAATTTCTCTACGGATTACAATATGAGGTAAAAAAATTAATGCTCAACTTACATGATCCTCAAACATTGAGTCAAGTAATTGACTTTGCTATGAAATGCGACAATCGCCTTTTTGAATTCCGATCTGAGAATCGTATATGTGGACCTCAACGTTACTATAATTCAATGGCAACACCAACACCTCTTCAACACATACATTCGGAAGTAGAGGATATGCAAATTGATGCAGTATGTTTCAAACCTCTTATTGAGCAAAAAAAGACTCGTCGTCGTCAAGAATGATTATGTTTATATTGTGGAGAACCAAAGCACACTGCTCAACATTGTCCAAAGAAACGACGCAATCACAAAATGAGGAGTATGGCTGTGAAAGAAGATAATATGTCGGAAAATGAGTTTGTCCAGCTAGAATAGGGACCGTGCGGCTGGAACCTTACACAACTTCTAGTAAAGGTCCTATTCTCTCCTCAGAGCCCTCTCCTTGTTTTACATTAAATGTTATTTTAGGACCTAAACATTACAAAGTCTCTGCCTTGTTAGATTCAAGAGCCTCAGCGTGTTTTTTAGATGAAGAATTTACTAAAAGACATAGCATATCTTTAGTAAAGAAAACTAAACTTGTTCATGTAGAAGTCATAGATGGTCGTCCATTGTCTTTTGGAGATATTACTCACAAAACCCTTCCTATAGAAGTAATAATCAATAGTCATAATAGTTTTGTAGTATATAATATCATTAGATCTCCCTCTAATCCAGTCATTTTAAGTTTATCATGGTTAGAAAAATACAACCGTCAAATAGATTGGATTTCCCGAACTCTTACTTTCTCTAAAAGTATAACTAACAGTGTAGTTAATCAAGTAGAGAGTCATAAGTCCAGTTCAATTAAACCCGTATTTATAGGTGCAAAAGCTTTCTTGCATGCTGCTATGAAAGAATCACCATATATTATTTATGCTACACCTGTTTCTATTGGTGAAAAGACTTCAAGTGGCATTCCAAGCCAATATCAAGAATTTCAAGATGTATTTGAAAAAAAGAATGCAGATACACTCCCGGAACATCGTCCCTATGATTGCTCAATTGACCTTCAAGAAGGAGCACAACCACCATTCGGACCAATCTATAGTTTATCACAAAATGAGTTGGCTGAACTCAAGGAGTATATTGAAGAAAATCTAGCAGAGAATTTCATACGCCATTCTAAATCTCCGGCAGGAGTTCCATTTCTATTTGTGAAGAAAAAAGATGGATCATTGCGGATGTGTATTGATTATCGAGGACTCAACAAGATTACCATCAAAAACAGGTATCCACTACCTTTAATATCCGGACTTCTTGATCAGCTGAATCAAGTTAAGATTTATACAAAAATAGATCTTTGGGGAGCATACAATCTAGTACGCATCAAAGAAGGAGATGAATGGAAGACTACATTTCAAACTAGGTATGGATATTTTGAATACAACGTCATGCCTTTTGGACTTACAAATGCACCAGCAGCTTTTCAACATCTAATGAATGATGTTTTTCGAGATTTTTTGGATGATTTTGTGGTATGTTATCTAGACGACATCTTGATCTATTCTAAGAATCTAAAAGAACATGAACTTCATGTTCGTCATGTGTTACAAAAATTAAGAGATGCAGGACTCTATGCCAAGATAGAAAAGTGTGTATTCCACACTACTCAAGTCGATTTCTTAGGTTACATCATTTCAAATGATGGACTTATGATGGATCCTAAGAAAGTTCAAACTATTATAGACTAGAAGATCCCAAAAACGGTAAGAGATGTCCAATGTTTTTTGGGATTTGCCAACTACTATCGGATCTTCATCAAAGACTTCTCTCGAGTTGCAGCTCTACTTACACGTTTGACTTGTAAAGACAAACTCCAATAGAATCAAGAAGCGAAAGTTGCTTTTGAATCTTTGAAGACAACGTTTGTTTCTGCACCAATCTTGTATCATGTTGATTTTTCCAAAGCATTCTTTATGGAAACAGATGCATCGGACTTTGCTCTGGGTGCGGTTTTATCACAAATGGGAACAGATGACAAACTTCATCCAATAGCCTTTCATTCAAGAAAATTCTCAGCAGCAGAAATCAATTATGAGATCCATGACAAAGAACTTCTTGCAATTGTGGATTCTTTTCAAGAATGGCGTCATTATCTAGAAGGTGCTTCTAGTCCAGTCACCATGTATACGGATCACAAGAACCTCGAATATTTTATGTCAGCACGCGTATTAAATCGTCGCCAAGCTCATTGGAGCATGTCTTTATCAAGATTTGACTTCATCATCATTTATCAGCCAGGAAAATAACAAGGTTTATCTGATGCCTTATCTAGACGTTCTTATTTTGCACCAAAAGAAGGAGATGCAGCTTTTGAGCAACAAAGAACGGTTCTCTTGAAGCCGGAACAATTTCATCTTCGAGCAATAAAATCAACATTGACTATTGATTTAACTTTTTTTAAGCAAGTCCAATTAAGTATGTCTTCAGACCCTCTTGTTCATGATATCAAGAACAATTCTTCGAAATCTCATGATCCATTTAAATTTGAATTCAAGAACAACCTACTCTATTTCGAAGGACGCCTATATGTTCTAGAAAGAGAAGCACGTTTACGTATTCTTCAAGCTCGTCACAACTTTCCAACAGCAGGACATTTCGGATATAATAAGACTTTGGAGCTGATATCTAGAGATTTTTGGTGGCCTCAAATGTGGAAGGCAGTTAAAAATTTTGTACAATCATGTGATGTTTGCTCAAGATCGAAAACTCCTCGTCATCGACCTTTTGGACTTCTTCAGCCATTACCCATTCCTGAACAACCATGGTCTTCTGTTTCTATGGACTTCATCACGGATCTTCCAATCTTAGGTTCTTATGACTCTATATTCATGATAGTAGATCGTTTTACCAAGATGGCACATTTTGTACCATATACAAAATCTATCACAGGTGAAGAAATAGCTAAGCTCTTTCTTGACAATATCTATCGCTATCATGGATTACCCAAGGATATTATATCAGATAGGAGAACTCAATTTGTATCAAGATTTTGGCGGACTCTTTTCAAGATTCTTAAAGTGGATATAAAACTATCTTCGGCATTCCATCCTCAAACTGATCGACAAACAGAGCGTGTTAATCAAGTTTTGGAGCAATATTTAAGATGTACCATTAATTACCAACAAGATGATTGGACAACTCTTTTGCCATTGGCAGAGTTTGCTTACAATAACACGGTACATTCTTCTACAAAACAAACACCTTTTTTTGTTAATTATGGTTATCATCCATGACTTGATACTTTTGAATTTTCAAAAGTTGATAATCCTGCTGCGAAAGATTTGGCAATTCATTTATCAGAGCTACATGCAACGATGAAGGCATAGTTAAAAGAGGCTCAAGAACAACAAAAGGCCAATGCAGATGTCTATCGAAAGAAACAACCATTATTCGTCTTGGGTGATAAGGTATGGCTACTTTGTCGCAATATCAAGACCACTCGTCCTTGTGACAAGTTGGACTATTGAAGGCTGGGTCCAACTTGTCACAAATGATAAGCCATCTACCCATCCATTCAGCCAGCCATCTACCCACCCATGCAGCCAGCCATCTATCCACCCGTTCAGCCAGCCATCTACCCATCCATTCCTTCTGCCATCTGTCCATCCATTCCTTCAGCCATCTATCCATCCATTCCTTCAGCCAGCCATCTACCCATCCATTCCTTCAGCCAGCCATCTACCCATCTATTCCTTCAGCCAGCCATCTACCCATCCATTCCTTCAGCCAGCCATCTACCCATCCATTCTTTCAGCCAGCCATCTACCCATCCATTCCTTCAGCCAGCCATCTACCCATCCATTCCTTCAGCCAGCCATCTACCCATCCATTCCTTCAGCCAGCCATCTACCCATCCATTCCTTCAGCCAGCCATCTACCCATCCATTCCTTCAGCGAGCCATCTATCCATCCATTCCTTCAGCCATCAATCCATCCATTCCTTCAGCCAGCCATCTATCCATCCATTCCTTCAGCCAGCCATCTATCCATCCATTCCTTCAGCCAGCCATCTATCCATCTATTCCTTCAGCCATCTATCCATCCATTCCTTCAGCCATCTATCCATCCATTCCTTCAGCCATCTACCCATCAGCCAGCCATCTGTCCATCCATCCATCCATTCCTTCAGCCATCTACCCATCAGCCAGCCATCTGTCCATCCATCCATCCATTCCTTCAGCCATCTACCCATCAGCCAGCCATCTGTCCATCCATCCATCCATTCCTTCAGCCATCTACCCATCAGCCAGCCATCTGTCCATCCATCCATCCATTCCTTCAGCCATCTACCCATCAGCCAGCCATCTGTCCATCCATCCATCCATCCATTAAAATTCCTACCAACCCTAGTCATGTGATTTGATTCCTTACCCGAGAATTGCACGACGTGAGACCCTAAGTCCACGCGGAAGTACATGCCCGCGGGGCTGGTGGGTGGCGGTGGCGCGGGGATGGGTGCCCACGGCGTGGCCATGCGCGGAGAGGGGGATGGGACTGCGTAGAGGAGGGACCTGATGCAGCATAAAGTCGCGCGTGAAAGAGAGCTAGCCAGAGGGAGGGTCGGTCGCACCACACAAGCAAGCAATTCATCCGCTCTGTGTCCTCGCGATCAGCACCCCATCCACCCGCATTTTACCAATTGGGGCCATGCTGCTCCGATGGGGCGGGGCCCACCCAATTGTCCGCTTGTCATTCCCTGCTGTCCTCCGCCTTCTCGAAGCCCGTGTACCCAACCACGCCGCTTCTCGCTCGGAATTCCTCACGCTAATATCTTCACGCATTCCGTCTCTCGCATTGCTCTCCCCACAACTCTGCAATCCCCCACTTGCGGTACTTCCAGGTATGCCCTGCTGCACCGAGATCTCCCTTCACCCAGTTTGCGCACCGTGGTTGTGATAGAATCTTCTGGCTTCTGTCATGATGCTTTTTCTCATTCCTTGTTGGAGTCGAGCGTTTTGGAATATGGGAGGTGGTAAGGTGGTGCCTTTTTTTGCGGAGGGGGGAGGGGTTTGGTTATTCTGTTGATTGTTGATTGAAATCTTGCTGCTGTGGTGGTTTCCTTGGCTGCTGTTTCGCTCTTTCCCTAGCAGAACATAATTTCTTTTACATGTAAAGCCTTTCGGTTTTTTGCGTCACGTAGTTGTTCAGTGTCCTAAGTCGACATTCTATCCTCTCCATGTTGTTTTAGATTTTTTCTGCTGTGTGTCTGAATTTGGACCCTTGTAGGTTGGTCGCAGACTGATTCGCAGGCGTCTTGGTTTGCATCTGACGTGTTAGAATTATATTCACATGTCGTTAGCACCAGTATTTGCACTGTCGGTGGCGAGGGTTGAGAGTTCTGATTCTGGTTTTAAAGTGTCACAAGAGTATTTAAGTAGATTCATGATGGGAATTAGCTGGGATTGTTTGGGAAAGCTAACTTAACTCAATTCTGAAATCTCCTGTTCCTGCTCCTCTAAATGTGTGTTCGCCGCAGGCCAATATATGAGGCAGTCTAGACAATGGCGTATGGTGCCTTTTACGGATGTTTGCGGATGTGGCAGAGGTGATCTCATTTGCTATTAGAGGTCGTCTATTGCAAATCTGCACCCAAAGAAAATTAAGGCAAAATGCCGTCCCTCGTCGTCGAGACAGGTTTGGTGAGCAGGATTATGAATCACAGAGAGCTTATGATATCATTAGCTGGCTTGAGCCTTGTTCTGCTCACACTCCTGCTGGGGAGGGTCAACTCTGCCGTAATTCTACTCACCGAATCAAATGAATCCTGGTCCTTTCCGGATACGGAAGCCAGTTTCTGTACGTGTTTCTCCCTCTCACTATCACTTGAGTCGCCTGTTTATGAGCTTTTCATGACCACGTGAAACACGGTGGAGTTCGTAATGTAGGCGAATAATAAGTCCACGGTGTCCTACCGATTTGTTAATTGAAGAATGTGGGTTTGAAAATGAGCCTGGAGTGGGACCTACGTAGAGCCCTTTTGAGAGGTATGATCTGTGGAGTTTAGGCCTGTCTTCCCGTATCACTTATAAAATGTATTAGGTCAAGTCCGTACTTTTGATGGTTCTCGAGATTATTTTTATTGGTAATCCACCTGCTTTTTGAGCTTATGGCTGGCATGTGGAATTCTGAGTCTATGAACAAGTTTTTGTTAACCTGTTATTTTTATGCTGGCAGCTCCACGTATTCCTACCACTGGTATTGTTGGGGTGTTGCACGCATCCAATCCTTTGGATGCTTGTTCGCCGTTGACCAACGTTTCAAGGCAAGGACAAACTTTATTTTCAGATTTCCTGCTGGTTGAACGTGGAGTTTGCAATTTTGAGGTCAAGGTTTGGAATGCTCAGGAAGCTGGATTCGAGGCGGTCATTATCTACAACAATCAGAATGACCATGAGTTAGTCACCAGTACGTCTGCATTTAGTGATGTCTTCACCTTAGGAGTTGGACATGATCAGATAATCCAAAGTAGGGATTTTTATATTTTCTTTTGTCGTTTTCATAATCGGCTTTTTTCAAGTTTCGTGAAATTCTTCGTCGGGTCAGTGCTGCCATGGGTTTACGCGCTTCTGAGTTTTGTGATCTGAATGATTTCAGTGTCGGGAAGCTCCAACGACATTCACGCATACTCTGTCTTCGTGTCGAAGGTTACAGGAGAGTTTCTGCTGAAGTACGCCGATGACAAGGGTGCAACTTGCTACATAATGCCAGCGTTCGAAAACACCGCTTGGTCAGTTATGGCAGTATCATTTATCTCTCTCCTCGCTGTATCATCTGTCTTAGTTACCTTTTTTTTTGTGCGACAGCACAGAATTCAGCATTTAAGCGCCCGGTTTCTCCCTAAGGAACCCGCTGGAATGAGCGTAAAAGAAGTGAATACTCTTCCAAGCTTTGTATTCAAGCACATTGAAGACGGCAAGGGCACTTCAGAGACTTGTGCCATTTGCTTAGAGGATTATGTTGCTGGCGAAAAGCTGAGGTTGCTGCCCTGTCAACACGGTAAGTGACTTCTTGATTCCTCTACCCCAATATTGTTTTCTCGATTTGCTACCGCTGGGCTCTTACATTATCTCCCTCTTTGTAAGAGCTTATCATATTATGCAAAAGTCCGTTTTCTTTATATGAGTCCAGCAAGAATGCTGATTTGTATAAATGTTGCGGTTTTGCAGAGTTCCATCTTGACTGTATTGATCAATGGTTGACAACCCGTAAACCTTTCTGCCCAGTCTGCAAAAGAGATGCCCAATCCAAAGTTGATAAGCCTGTGGCTACTGAGACTACGCCATTGTTAGCAGCAGTTGGAAGAGCTTTGGGTGTTGGTGAAAGTCGAGTTGGAACACCAATGAATTCATCACCGCTATTTGCTCCTACTGGGGCTTCACCGGACGAAACTACTGACACACGCATCTTTTCGCTTTCCTCTCCAGATGGTTCCGAAGATCTCTGCTAAGAACTTCGATTGCGAGACGACTTGGGAAAAATTGCTTGCTTAGTAGTCATCAGCATGGTTTGTGTTGAGTTTGTAAGATTGCTCGTGAATATCAGGAGATGGCTTGCTGGGTCAATTACGGGATAGAGTTCGTAGGGGTTTGGAGTACGAAGACGGCCACTTATTAGGATTTCGTCCTCTATTTTGTAACTTTAGTTGTAACATAGTGACTACAAAATGTGGGAGACTCAAGCTGATCATCTTCTCTCATTGAGTCTAGAGACAACTTGACCAGCCCCAGTCCCTAAAGTGGTCAGTGACTTTGAAGAGTGTCCATTGTAAGGATGTAGAGAAAAGAAAGAGTTGTGTGTTTTAGTTGGACCTAGCATTGGTAGTTAGGATTTTTGATAGAAAAGGTGAGATTTATGGTACCGAAGGTAAGTCACAAAACTCCGGTTTCTTGTTTGGACTGAAACTAGAAGAAAAAAAATTTGCCACCACAGTATTTCACAGATACGGCTGTCGGTTTTAGTTAATTTGAAGATATGAGAGAATAGCTGTGGCATTTATACGGAAAGATACGTTTCGGGGAATTTTCTAAGCATTTGTGGATGAGTTGAACTATCGGGTAACTTTGTGGTGATTCCACTGACTGTTTATTTTTTAGAGGTTTGCGGGCACTTGTTACTTGGCCCGAAGCCTCGGGCGCTTGGTCAAGTTCTGACGCTTAAAACCTCTCTGAATGGCTGTCCTTGTATGCCATGTTGCTTTTTAGTTCATTTTTTATTCATTATATTCCTATAGATGGGGAACTTAATTTCGTTAGTCGTACACGTGGACGGAGTATTTGATGTAAACATACCTGATGTCGTGTGTTTCTCACGCCCTATGGCAGTAATTTCGAGCTTTACTTGCTCTCTCTGAATTTTCTTTTCTTTTCTTTTCATTTTATTCCTCTTCTTTTTTCATGCGATGCATCAGTACTCTTTAAAATGGAGAGTAGTGAATACCTTCTGAGGAGAGAGGAGGTTCGACGTTACTGGCGGAGATCCACTTCAACTGTACGAATGCGAAAAATTCTGGCTTATTCAATTGTGTCTCGAGTCCTCGCACTCTAACATCCAGCAATGTACCTCAAAGGGGGCACTCGTGAGGGATGGAACATTGCGAGTTACTTCATCTGGTAGTCATCTCACTCGTCAGCATTGTTTCCGAGCATTGATCATGAGGTTTCTGTGTCGATTGATGTCCAGTACCAAGATAATGACATTTCTGAATAACATGAAGTTATTCTTCCAGTTTAGAACAATGCTTTTCTTGCCAAAATAACCACCAGATGATTTTTCTAGAAGGAAATGACGCAAGTGCTTTCTAGAGATGCACCAGGCAGCAACTCTGCAGAACTTAAGTTTAGGACTTGGCAAGAGACCCCTACATACTGAGAATTTCGAAGCACCAATATTCCAGAAAACTCTTATTCTGACTGACGTCCCGCAGTTTCAGCGTGATCGCATTATCTCAGTGATACCTTTTGGACACAGCAGTGTAGAACGATATGGTGAGCATCATTTCAAATCTCGTGTGCATCTCAGTTTGCTATCAGAAGGTAGAGGAAACCACAAATCGAGTTTTGCTTCACCCAGTGTGGGGCATCAACCCTCCAGGATTGAACAGGATACCGAGCAAGCATGAACTAACAAACCTTAAACTTGTGTTGTGATTCCTTAGTGGAGACAGTATGTACCCTTTTGAACAATCACCTTGTTTGAAAGTAGAAGTAGAAAAATGTGAGTCATCTAATGTGATAAAAACTAATGGCAATAATGTTGTTGAACTCTTTAGAAAGTGTCAACTGTTTGGAGGAAAACTTATTGAAATGAAACAAGTGAATATTATATTTTTATTGCATTTGTGACAATAAAATTTCAACTTGGCCATTGCAAACCTTGGTCAATACAACTTCATAATTTGTTTTGTAGGAATGACAATTTATATTTCTACTTTTGTTATGTATTGTAGATTTTTTTACAAAGTAGTAATATAGGTGGTTTGGAATTCTCAACCTATAGATTGCAAGTATAAATATTATTAAAATTTTTAAATACCAACTTAAATATATTATTTACATGGTAGATAACATTCTAATTAAACTTTTAAGGTATTTTAAATACTTTTTTGGATTTAATATAATATGTTAGCTTTATAATTGCTTTGATATAAAAAATATTCTAAAATAGTCTTAACATGTTTTAAAAACTTCTCTTTCATGTTGCATTATAACCTCTTTTAAAATTAAGGACAAGTAGTCTTGAAATTGCAATAAAGTAACCATATCTTGACACTCATGTTGAATTTTGATTGTTCCTTGCAATAGGCATCTACATTAATTTTTTGTTGTTCTTGAGCTTTCTTTAATTACAACTTCATTTTTGTATGTAGCTCTGAGAAACAATTTGCCAAATCTTTCGCCATAGGATTATCAACTTTTGAAAAGTCAAAATTATCAAGTCATTGATGATAACCATAATTGACAAAGAAAGATATTTGTTGAGTGGAAGAATGTACCGAATAATTATATGTAAGCTTTGCCAATAATAAAAGAGTTTTTCAATCATCTTAATGATAGTTGATGGTACACCTCAAGTATTGCTCCAAAACTTGATTCATCCCTTGTCTTATTGCATGGTTTTCCATCTGGGAATACATTGGGTACCTAGCTGTAGAGAGTTTAGTTTTAACTTATTGGCCAAGCTCCAACAAGTTATTTAACCTTTTAAGTAGAAGACAAATAAATATTATAATATCAAAAAGATATTGTATTAATAAAATCTTTTATATTTAAGAAGGTTTATACATAAGGCTTTCTAAAATATCTAAGAATTTCCTAACATTCTTGATTATACCAAATCAAAACTAATCATTTACTCATAAGTTAGATTTTCAATAATTCCAAAGAAAATCCATAATCTCTTCTCAAAAACTTATCTTTATATCAAAATTTAACCATAGCTCCATATGGCATCTTAAAAACCCTAGTAGGTACTTCAAATCTTAATCCACAAGCACTTGCGTATTATTTTCTTTATATCTCGCAAATCCAAAATCCAAATGCCACAAAATTTGAATATAAAGTTTATTAATATAATTATACACATTCTCAAAAATTTTGAGCCAAAATCTCATCAAATTTCTTAAGATATAGGTCAAAATACAACTACTAGTGAATCGGATCCTTTACTACCCTTAGATTTATAAGCACTAATTTCAACCTCTAATATCCCCTTTATTACAACTTGGAATTCATCAAACAATATGCCAAAATTGTAACTGAAAAAGTATTTTCTTCAACTTCAATCACCAATCTTCTGTTGCTTTCTGTATTCGTGTGTTATATCCAAAAGAGTGATAGTAGGTACAAAATCAATGCCTCGACTTTGAGCGCCTATATCTCTTTCATAAAAACTCCAATTGATTGAAAATTTGAACCAAAACCATAGCCAAAATCCTAAAACTGCTGATCTTAGTCTCTAAAAGCTCAAATGGATCAAAAGTGTATTCCTAATCTCTAATATGGCCTCAGGTAGCCTCCTTGAAGCCCATTGGTCATGATTTTTGATCAATAAGAATGGAGATTTTTATCATCCATCTCCATTCATCTATATGGATGCCTTAAACTCTCTTTTTGCTACCAAAATCCCTCTCCAACTCTTTTTTTTACAAGATTTACATAATATATGTCCTAAACACCATATAAAAGAAACAAAATAAGATTTTAAGGATCACTAATATTTAACAAAGGTGATTCAAAAGATTTAAAACTAACTACTAATAAGATCAACTTCAAAGTCACTATCAAAAGAAAATAAAGTTATATAAATTCTAATAGAAGACCTTTTAAATAACCTCTTTTTGAGCTAGTAATTTATCCACATCCTATAACCAATAAAAATCCACTAACATAGCTTTCACCATGTTGTCTAGTATATTGTGTATTAAATATATAAATCCATTATTTTTACATGGTAGCCAAATTACAACACGACACTGTTCTATTTGTCTATTAGTTTGAAGATGAAAAGCCAAAGAGAGCTTTCTATCCACCTTTAAAATCTTAAAAAGGATTCTCTAATATCTTGATAGAAATTGAGTCGTCCTATCCAATATAATATCTTTACGTAATCCATGATAGTGATAGTATCACAGACATACATATTTATTCCAATAATTATCTAAATAATAAAAATAGGTAGAAGTAAGTCAAAGTAAATAAATATGATAATATCTTGTAGAAAGCTTTCTAGAAGCTTCATAAATGCTGCTTTGCCTTTATACATGTCTATATGTGATTAGTAGGTTGAAAACTTGACCAACAAGGAGGCCACATATTGATATGTTGACCTCTTGTAGTTCAAATTGGACATATGGTGCATACCTACAAAACTTGCTTTACAAATTAGACATGTGTCCTATAAATTGTATGTGTATTAGAGGTCCTACAACATGTCACCATGTATTTTTTAATTAAGTAATATATATATAGAGGCAACAATGAGGCCTTCTACACTTTTATCAACTCCTTTCTTGTTTTTAGTCTAGTTTCAAGAGTCTTATGTTTTTTAGTCTTTGGCAATAGCCATTCTAATTCTTTCTTTAGTACACATATTTTCTTCTATTTTGTCACTTTTCTTTTGACACAGATTCCATGAATTTATGTATCTTATTCTAGTTTGTCTCCTTGACAGATTGACAAGAATGTACATATAATATTAGAGCTTTGTCTTTTCTTGTTTAAGAGTTGATTACTCCTTTCTCTTGATAAGACATAAGCATATTAGAAGTTATGGATTACCTTCTTTTAAACTAATATTGTTTCTAGTTTTTTTTTTTTTTTTTTTTTTTTTTTTTTTTTTTTGATTCTTGACTATTGCATTCTATGAGAATAGACAACTTTCTTTTTATTATGCTAGTATGGCAGAGCTTTCTAAAATGAAGAGTGTAATGGCTCAAATGCAAGAACAAATGAGAGAATTAGTGCTTGTAATGCATCAATTTAGTCTACCACCACAAAGAACAACAAGATTATGAAGCAATGAAGATATAGAGATGATCGGAGTTGCTTCAACATCTACACCAAGCTATATTATTGCCCCTACAATGGAACATCATTCAAGTTTTAAAGAACCAAAAATTAGATTGATTGAGAAGTTTGATGGCTTAAGATCTAAGTTTTGAAGATTCACCAATCAAATATAAATGGTAATTAAACTATAACCTCAAAGTTATCCAACTCAAGAATCACAAGTCAAATTTATTAGAATACTATTTTTAGGTTCTCTTTTATCATGGTTTTTATCATTTCTTGAACAACATGATTCAATATTAGATAATTTGGAAGCATTCTTAGTGAAGTTTTGATCTATGTATAGAAAATATGATGCAATTCATGTTGCAATCAACAAGATTTATATCTTGTAAGAAGACAATCGATCAATGATATTATATGCTTCAAAATTTTGATAATTAGTGACAAATATCAAATGAGATGATGTAGCACTCATTAACCAATTTTTCTATGGATTGCAATATGAAGTAAATAAATTGATGTTTAATTTATCTGATCCTCAA